ATAACGTATACAAGCATATCCAAGCAAGCACGAGGATGTATGTACAGGTAGTTACATTTAAGAACCTTCCAGTGTGCTTCGATAAAGTTGTTGGCTCTGCCATACGGAATCCGATTTGGAACAACGCTACGCGCCCACAAACGCCATTGGTTGTATATATACGAATGCTTGTACATATATATCCAAGCGTCACTTAATCGCCTGGCGCGGCAGTACTTGTAAACCTCTCTGGCAGCACTCTGGTGGATTTCATTGGCAGTTTCGTATTAATTACCTACAACAAATGTAGAGCGATAACATTTAAGCAAGAGTGTGAACTTAAGCAGTGACAGGTTTAATCCACTAGTAATATGTAAGTATATAGGATACTACCATTAGGTATCAATGCGTGGCTGTTGTAGTGCTTTCTTACGAGATCGATGATGGCATCTCCATCTTCTTTTCTGCATATGACACCTCTATAACCGCCAATTGATGGGGTGAAGTCGTCACCAATAAAGCCAAACTCGGTTCTTGCTGCTAGGAGATTGTATGTTGGAATACTTGTGGATTTATTCTCGCCTAACTTTTGGCTTATGCTCTTAACAATATGCCAGATGCAGAGTCTTAAATAACTCTCGCCAAAGACTTGCTGAACGGCATTGATCTGAGATTTGTCTTTGTCGGAAAACACGAAACCAGGATTTAGCCCGAAGTCTTTTAGTCTTCGTAAGAATGCTGCCAATGTGTAGGTTCTTATGAGTTCTGGTGCTCCTTCGAACGAAGTATAGACCAGATACCCAATGGGATATCCAACGCCATTGGTCATTGCTATGATGCCAAACAACTCGCAGCCCGCACGATTGGTTTTGAACGTCGAATCGATGTAATACTCTTCAACGTAATGGCATGATGCCAACTTTTCAAAGAAATGGAGTGATAAATCCAACAGCAACAGCATGATCATCTCATCTCCAAAACATCTAATATATATTTAAGTGTATAAGATTCTATATGCTACGTTTGATTCTATCTGTCTCTAGCTTTTAAAGCAAAGAGAAGGTTGATGGTTAGTAATTATCATATTACATACCTCCACAAAACCAATGTTGTTGTATCTTCGAAGAAGCAGGCGAGTTGATATCATTTGGTCGTCATGCAAGCGGTACATTGACTGGAATCCTACCGACCACCAGTAATATACCTGTATGGTCGTGAGGCTCCGCGTCATGTCAGGATACCTTGTTTTTACTGCCTCATACAATGTCGACGCATCGATACCCCGTTCTGTTGCTCGCTCGGTTATATATTGTCTTACAACTATAGCAACAGCATTTCGTCTTGTTTCTCGATCTGAATCCACTCGACCGTGATTAATCGGATGTCGAATGTTAAGTTCGATATAGCCGAGCTCCTTTTTAATAGTGCCTTTTACGCGACTATAGCATTCAAAAGCTAAAAGCTTATGGTTCATGTGTACAAGGAGATGTTCGGCTGTCTGTTGTTGTATCTCCTGGGATCTGTGACAATATGCTCCAAAGGAAATGTTTTTCGAGAGCTCTGGATCTCCAATATTTTTAATAAGATATGTGTATTGGTTGCATCGGTGCACTTCCTCCAATATCCTTTTAACTAAATCAGCTGGATCTATCGCCTCCATATACGGTTCAATACAGATATAACCATGAAATGCATAAATCTGCAACAATATTGGTTACTTATCTAAAGAATACAATTGGTCTATTACAAAGCTACACATACCTCGCTTCCGTCAGTATCTGCATGAGCAGGGTAAGCCTCATGCAACTCATCCAACTGCAGCATATCGTCCAAAACAACGATTTCTAGAGGCGTTCACTCAAAGCAGCAAGGGGAGCAAGTCCTAAAAGGCTTTGTTGCGCCTCTGAACAGGCGTCCTGGTTTGGCCTGGTAACAATCAGTACACTCATAAGTGCTTTCCTCGTCAAACGTGCCTTCCACAATTGAACGAATCTGTGGATGACTAGTGTTGCCACGATTACAAAGACAGAATGCATCACTGGTAATGGGGTTGATCGGTGCTCCACTAGGAAAAATATCAACGGTAATGTCACTGTTCATTTCGTGTATGAGAAAGTAGTAATAGGATCAAGGATGAAAATAATTATAACAAACAAAAACAAAGGCAAAAAAAATTGGTGCATGGTCGTATAGGTATTCCCGGGTTATCAATTTTCCTGAAGGATACCAGGGAATTTACTCCGGCACTATATTTACCCGAGGCAGATGCCAGGGAAATTTCAGCGGTCCCTATGAACCGCCTAATGCATGACATTCAGTGACACCCTCGCGCTTAAGAAGTAACATTTGTAGATCGGCAAGTTCTATCATATGAACGCTTTCGCCCTGTAGAAGTCCATAGTGTTTCAGAAGAAAAGCAGTGCAGTTTCGCAGTCCTTATTGCTTGTTGGTGGCCAGAAAATGAACTACAATACGCTCCATCTCAGCTGATGTCGAATAACCATCACCTGCGTATACATGCCTCTGTCTTCATAGTTTTGTCGACTAAGCTCGTTTTCCACATGTTTCAAATGATCAACCAGTGCATGAACAAGCGGGCCACGCAGATGCAGACGATTGAAGCAAGGGTCTGTTTTGGCTTGTTCAAAATGGAGATCGACAATAGAAGTAATGTATTGTTTAATGGTACCAAGCTTGACTTTGGGGGCGGGGGCATCAGGCGCAATAGGTTGCTCAACAGTATAACACGAAGCATCGCGTACAAGTAGAGCAGCAGATGATGATGACGAGGATGATGGCATGATGGCGGTGACGGGCGAGAGAACAGCAGCAGACGAAGATGATGGCATGATGGCAGTGGCGGGCGAGAGAACAGCAGCAGGTGAGGATGATGGCATGATGGCGGTGGCGGGCGAGAGAACAGCAGTAGGCGAAGATGATGGCATAGAGAGTTAAACATAAATCTGATGATTACAAAAAATTCTTCAATTTTTTATCATCTATAATATTTATATAGTTAATATAAATAATTTAAAACAAATTGTTCTCTTTTTCTGTTCTTCCTCCTTCTCCTCCTCAAAATAAATAACAATAACAATAGTAACAACAAACCCTTGATAGGCTTTTTATATTCTTATTTATATATAATAAAAAACAATTAAAATCGTTGATTTTTATGTTTTTTTTTTCTGAAAAACATAATTTGTGTTACAAATAATTGTTTTTTAATTCAGCTACATTAAAAAATTTAAATAAAAGCTAATATATATATATAAAAAGTAAAATTATAATTTCAAATTAAACTTTATATTAAAAATAATAGAGAAAACAAGAACATGTCAATGTTGTTGTTTGTTGTTGTTTATGACATAATTAATACTTAAATAAATATAAAAAGATATATACAATTTTAATAATCTAGTGATTGATAAAAAATTAAGAAATTTTTGTAATAACTAAATTATTGATTAAACCTCATAGTGGTGGTGGTACGCATAGCAGGAGCGGGTGACGAGGCGGGCAACAGCACAGAATTCTCTCTTTCTTTCAGGTTTACGCTTCTCTCTGAAGACGACCTAAAAAAGAACACTATTGTAAGATATGCATATATATATAGATTGTGAAAAGATATGTGGCTAACCTCTTCTACAAGAAAAAAATGAAGCTTTCTGTCGTTGATCAACCGGTCAGTGTGATCATTTGGACAGCATCTTCAGCACCACTTGAGAAATTCTTCCTGCCTGGGAGAATACGATCTAACTGTATTCTGCGGACGGCTACCTTGTGCTTGTTGGTATGTAGCTTAGGCAGCAGATTCAGCAGCAGCTTGATACTCTATTTGCGAGCTCATGAGAGAAGTATATTGTGGTAGAGGGGGAGGGATAGGGAGAGAAAGAGGATGTGGTGAGGCACCATTACTCGCCACCACACAGCCTGGGTGATTAGCCAAACGGGCGGTACTTCTCCTAGTAGGTGTAATAATGCTACCGCGACCTCTGCTTATGTTGTTAAGATAGTGAACGATTTAATGAGGAATGGAAATGAGATGAAGGAAACGGAATCTGACAGATGTGCCTGACAAAAGAAAAGTGGCAAAGCTTCGAAATTTTTTTCCCCTGGATATCAAGATTGGGTCCCTGCTATGCTGTAGACCTGAGTCCAGACCCGCACTAAACACAAATGATATTGCCAAAATATTGTTATAGCCTTTTGCGGCAGCTGGATCTGTAGTCAATGATAAAGGATAGGAGCAGTGGGTAATAACAAGATAGAAGATTGTTGAAAGATGATCTTTATTGCTTGTCATAGTTATAATGTCAACCTCAGGTATTTCCAAGTCATATTCTTCATTCTCGTCATCTTCCGTGATTTCTTCTTCACTATTCTTGACATTACTGATAGTTGTGTCTTCTTCAAAATCTTGTACTGACTCTTGTGAGTTCAGTCTAGAGGACTGAACGAACCTGAACCGCAGAGTGCTGTGATCATCTTTTCCGCTTTATTAGTCGAATATATCAGAGAAACATTACAAATGAAATTTGAGTAAAAGAAAAATTTTTTGTCTTTAAAGTGTTAAGAGTGTCAACTATCGAATCCTTGATCATTAATGAGCGTAGCCGATAGCGGAGGGTGGGTGGGACCCTCTGCAGTTCAGGTTCGTTCAGTCCTCTGGACTGAACTCACAATTATCTATCGCTATAGCTCCAGATAATTGAGGGAGTCCATCGGACTTCCCGAACCTGAATAGCAGAGTGCTGCTTGCAGAGAGAAACGCTTGACCTCGTGATTCTTGTATAACATTGGACATCGCCTTGGCGTAATGAAATGAATATATTGGTTTTTTTTTTGTTGTTTTTTGTTGCTTGTTCTTGTTCTTTTTTTTTTTTTTTGTAGGGGAGAAGATCAGCTTATCAAGAAGAGGCTGACAGGACCGCGGATGTCATATTGGTAGTGGCCTGACGCGTGCGTCGATAATGGTTGTCAAACACGGAGGACGACGACCAGTTTCCTATGATCAGAATTTAGTCTAAGGAAACACTAGTGCGCAAAGCCTTGTCCGAAGCAGCAGAACGAATCGATGGGAGCCTTGATCCCGTAGTGGCCGAAGGAGACAAATGGAGGACAGAACGCAAATATGATGACAACGTAGTCGCCGCCAACGCCGCCGAAGGATCCCGGCTGTTGACAAAGAGAGAGGAAGTGCCAACATGCGAAGGATGGTCCATAAGGGCACAGTAAGCTTGAACTGGACACGAAGAGGGATCATTGGGCAGTGGATGGACCAGAAGTTCCTTACAAATGCGCCGACCTTGCCGAGTTTCTTTGGGTGCGATAATAACCAGAAGCAGGTTGCCCTCCTCAGTGACACGGCAGTCAGAAAGTGAAATCCAATGCAAATCAGAAGGGCGAAGGAAGGCAGCGGCAGCGAGAAGAAAAGCACACTTCTTCGACAAGAGAGGAAGTGTCATGGTCGGCCCAGATGGTATTGCTTGAACAAAATCCAAAGAAGGTGAGAGGTCCATGGGAGGGCGATTCATATGTACAGGGGGAGCTTTTCGTTTGAGACGAGTGAGAAAGTCGCGTAGCTCACGCGCGGCGGCAATAGCGTCTGCATCCCAGTGGAAAACTAACACCGCCGACTTAAACAGGAGAATAGTCGTTGCAGCAAAACCAGTATCCGTGGCTAAATCCAAAAACTCGATCAACTGTGCTACAGAATAACGATTCAAATCGACTTTAAAGTGGCGCCCCCAATGGATGAACAGGTACTGTGCTCGTTGATACGTCCTAGCCGTGGATGCTTGAACCAGTTCAGCTGCCTGACGCGACGCCGCCGTCACCGAAAACCCATTTAATTCAAACCTGCGCCTGAGAGTCTCCAAACGGATAGTCGCCAGTGTGGATTCATCCACGGCCAAGGAGTGGAGCGGAAAGTTGTTTGAGTGTGGCGAGCTGGGTCGAGAAGCAGAGGAGGATCGACTGCCATCGATTGGATCAACGGAAACCAAATGGCGCTCTCCCAATACGGAACTGCCACCGTCGCTGTTATCCGTTCGTCCTTGATCTTGCGTAGCACCGGCAGTATTAGATTCCAAGGTGGATGGATGAAGGGGTTGTTGCACGTGGTCCAAGAGATTGAGAGGGCATCCGTCGCCCACGCCTGCGGGTCGGTTTTCCATGTTACATAACGAGGGAGCAGGAAGTTCGTTCGATCCACAAAAAGGTCGACGTCGTGAGGTCCCCATCTCAGTTGAATAACTTGGTTGAATGTCTGTGGTAGAATCTGCCAATGGTTCTTGATGTAGAAATGTCGAGACGCCCGATCCGCTGTCACATTGTCTACCCCGGCTATATGTTGTGCTTGAATCCGAAGTTGTCGTGCCAGGCACTGTTCCCAGATCGACGTTGCTAAGGAACTCAGTGAAACTGAACGAGTCCCGCCTTGTTTGTTGATGTACAATTGGGCCGTCTTGTTGTCGGTGCGGATGAGAACAGTGGTTTGGCGGAGGGTCGGAAAGGATTGAAGAACCAGTTGGATCGCTCGCAATTCCCGCCAATTGATCGAATTCGTCCACTCGACCGAAGTCTAAAGACCTTGGACGATCCGCCCGTTGTAAACCCCACCCCAACCGTCGTCGCTTGCATCCACAAAAATTGTGTGTTGCGGTGAGAGGGGAAGAAGAGAGCGACCGTTCCACTTGCTCAGATTGGCCATCTACCAGTGAAGCTCGTCAACGCACTCCTACAGTAAGGCCTGAGGCAGATCCCAGCCGGTGTTGTCCTTGACCCAATGATTCTTGAAACGCATCAGTGCTTGTGTGTACAGCTGTACTAGGAACAAGGCGATGGTTGCAGCTTTGATTCGCATTGTGAGGCTGTTGATTCGACGAGGAGTCTGCTGATGATCGTGAAGCATGGTGGCAATGGAGTGTTTCAGATCTCAGACTTTGGTTCCTGGGAATTTGGCTGTCATGGTGGTCGTGTTGATCTGGTACCCGAGGTGTTCGATTGTCTGAGTTGGAATTAAGGAGGACTTCTTCTGATTCACGATCCAGCCTAATTCCTGCAGCTTAGCTATGATTGTCTGGGTGTGGCGATGTGCCTCTTGGAATGACGAGCCCATCACCAACCAGTCATCTAAATATGCGCTCACGCGTATATAGTGACAACGTCGTGCCCAAGTCAAGATCGGACAGCAGAGTTTTGTAAAAACAAACGGGACCGAGGCTAGACCGAACGCCATTGTCCAGAACTGAAAGGTGTTGTTTTCCTAACGGAAACGAAGATAACGACGGGAGTGCTGATGTAACAGAATATGTAGGAAAGCGTCAGTAATGTCGATCGAGCAGACATAGTCGTTCTTGCGAACCATCTGCACGATTTGTTGTAACGTTTCCATCTTGAATTTTGGCGGTAGTTGAAGGTAAGCTTTGTTCAAATGTCGAAGGTTGAAGACAGGACGATAACCACCATTGTGCTTGGGAATCACAAACATTGGACTGTGGAAGCCAGCTGTGGGTGGTGCCGGCTCGATGGCCCGTTTCTGCAAGAGCTCTGCAATTTCCTGCCTCAGCAACGCCTTTTGCTGTGGCGATTGAACCTGGACCGGAGGACTGTGACGAGATAGTGGCGGATGACGAGCGAAATGGAGCTTGAAGCCTTCCTGGACTATCCCATGGACCCACCGACTGTCGGTCAAACGTTCCCAGGCCTGTCAAAACTGCTAGAGACGCCCCCTACTAGCGGGAGCGGCTGTTGCTGGTGCTGATGTGACCGTTGCTGTTGTTGTTGGGGTTGTTGCTGTGAGACTGATTGGTGTTGTTTCTGTTGTAGGAGCTGCGGAACGGATTGTTGGATCGTTGGTGCTGCTGCCGCTGAAAAGTGAAACTGGGATGCCCGCCATCCTCTGATGGGCCCGATCGAAAAAACGACGAATTAAATGACGATGGTTTAAAACGATTACCCCCTCGACGAGCATCTCGAATCGATTTTTGCATTGCTGTGAATTGAGTAACAGTGTCTTTGAACGTATCGGCGGATATAGTGTATTGCTTGTCTTGTGATGGTGCTTTTAAGGATAGATGAATAGCGCGAAGAGCAAGCTGATTACATTGATTGTTTATAGTACTGGCGGTATGAAGAACCAAAGTGCGGATGTCGTTTATAGTGGCAAAAACGCGGTCTATGTATTCGTTTGGGAGAATCGGTAAGAGAGTATGACCTAACACATCAAGAGGTCGCAGAACTGCAGAAAGCGTGTATTGCAGCTGGCGTAGCATAGCGCCTTCGGCTTTTTGGCCAGGCTTGAATAGGCGGTCAGCCTGTGGCACCGCAGCAGGTGGTGAGTATTTCAGCGTGCGGATAGGCGGATAGCGTTCGATAATTGTTTTGCACTCCTCGTCGGTAAGCGTACTGGTGAAGATGGCCTGAGCCAAAGTCGGCATCAAGGTCGTGAGTGTGGCATCCGGTTGCCAATCAAAAGACGGCCGTACAGGCAAGTCATGGGGGGAAAAAGGAGAGGAGGATTGCGATGGTTGCCCGGGAGCCGATGAAGCAGCGTCCGTGCGTAAGCGAAAGAGCTCCTCAATTAATTGCTGTTGCTGCACAAGCTGTTCCATAAGCTGCTGCGTCGATGGCGTCAGTGTTTGCGAATTGGGAGTAGTAGAATCTTCCATGATCAAAATGAAGGGGCAAGCGGTATTGACCGGCGAAGCGAAGAAAAAATGATCAAGGATTCGATAGTTGACACTCTTAGCACTTTATAGACAAAATTTTTTTCTTTTACTCAAATTTCATTTGTAATGATTCTCTGATATATTCAACCAATAAAGCGGAAAAGATGATCACAGCACTCTGCAGTTCAGGTTTGGGAAGTCCGATGGACTCCCTCAATTATCTGGAGCTATAGCGATAGATAACTGTTCTGCTGTTTACATGTCTTATATTTGTTTGGTGCGCTTGCCATTATCCTAGTTAGATTTGCCAATTCTGGAGGATTTTTTTCAGTCTAGCTATAGGTCTTAATCTATAATAATTAATTTTACTATAAACAGTAAGTTAATTTGCTACTACATTATTCTATTAAATATGCGGCGTCCTAGTATTCCTTATATATAGGGATACGCTCGTTGCCATTCCACTAATTTATATTGATTAATAACATTCATAAAGTTTAAAAATAATTCCTTGAAAATATTTAATATTCTAAAAATAAAAAAGAATATTCAATTTTTTCTATCTTTTCCTTCATAAATAAATTTATTAAGTTTAGTGAATTGGTTAATTATGCCTTAATTAGTGGTTAAGTTAAATTCCCTATATTGCATCGGTGTAATAGAGGCTAGTTTAAGTAATTTATAGAGGGATGGTGTGGAAGTAAAATGCTATCATGCTAGAATGCTTAGCTAAAAATGACCAAATAAGGAAACTTCAAACATTAGTAGCTCAGCTAGTTATCAAGCACACAAATGCAGCAATAGTGGATTTTATTCCTCTTCTCAAAAGCTATCGTTTGCAGTAATCACGTGTGTTAATGAAAAGTCATTAGAGCATCCCTAGCAGACTCGCGATGTTTCAAATCTCAAAATTTTTGCGAGTGAGTTTGTATTTTTTTGTTCCTAGGGGACTTGCCAAACCATTTGCATAATTTGAGAGTCGCAAAATTCTGAGTCCAAGCTCACAAAATTTGTTGACTCGTGAAACTACTTATTGATCCTATACCTTATTTTTTTAAATAAACTCAAAAAAACAACAACTTCACAATCATCACCAAAATGCAAGAAAATCACCCCAACACCCCACAACTACCTAACTCCCCTTTGCCTACTTCCGCTCCTACCACTACTTCGTCCTCTTTTGTGAAGGAAAAGAAGAGTATTGTAAAGGCAGGAGGTCCCGAAGGCAATCTGAACTATTCTCCAGCAGAAGATCTTCAACTGTATAAATCATGGTTGAAGATCTCGATCAATGCCGAAACAGGGACAGACTAGGATGGTGGCTAATTCTGGCAAAAAGTTGCTGCCCATTTTGCTCCACATATCGAGGATCCGAGAGGCGAACGTATGGCCAAAGCTTTGATGAGCCATTGGAGTCATAACATCCAAAAAAAAGTTGCAAAGTTCTGTGGACACTACGCTCAGTTTAAGGGTTTGAAACAAAGTGGCCAGAATGAATTGGGTCTGGTTAGTATTGAATAAAAAGTATAAGAAAAACATGTTAGTATACAGGGCCTGATATAAGTAGCTTTCAGCATATGCAAGCAAAGGAAGCGTATTTCAAATTTGAAAAGAAACAATTCGCATTTGAGCTTTGTTGGGAGACCCTCCATTCTTTCGACAAGTGGAATGACAAGCTAGAAGAAATGAAGGCAAAGAAAAATACACCGGCCGACAACAATAAGAAGGGTACAGGTAAAGCACCTGCAGTTTCCAATGTCAGTCAAGAAGGCGAAAATGGTGAATCGTCGACCGCACAATCCACCAACAAAATAGAAAAGGCTCGAACAGAGCTAAAGCGCGACTTTGATGAAGCGATGAAAAATCAAGCCACATTTCTCGACGAAACGAGAAAAAAGAGCAAATATTTGGAGTAGCTCGTGGCAGTAGAGAAAAGAAAAGCGAAGGACAACAAAAAAGAAAGGGATGAGAAGATCATGGCTGTCGATCCTTCACAATTGGATCCCATCCGCCGTCAGTTCTATGAGATCCAGCAAAAACAGATCTTAGAAAGATTGCTTGCAGGGGGGAGCAGAAGATGAAGAGGATGAAGAAGACGATGGAGAAGAAGATGAGAGGTTTGAAGAAGAAAATGAAGAAGTTGAAGAAGTAGAAGCAGTAGAACAGTCAGGGGATGAACATGATGTAGTTGAGTAGGATTAAGATGATGATAAGAGTTTTTCTAATCAAAAAGAAGTATCCATCATTTGACTTTACCATACGATTTCCACAAATGTACAACAAGATCATCTTGTAGTTGTTGATGCTTTTGAGTATCGCAGATTTCTTGATATCGACTAAGATACTGTTTGAAAACAGCGTCATCACCAGGCACTGTAGCTAATGTTGTTGCTGCTACCTTTTTCTGAATTCACATCAATACCATCTGAATTAGAAGTACTGGGTCGAACTCGCTTTCTGTTTTTGTTGCAGCGTGTTTTTTCTCGGCGAGTTGCTGCGTCATCATACTCATAATCAACTGCTGTACCGCGTTCATTCTCAATGGTCATATTGTGGAGAATAATGCAAGCGTTAATAATTTTGGTGAGAGTTGCAATATTCTAATGACGTGCTGGCTGCTGGATGATGTGGTATCGAGCTTTTAAAACACCAAACACGCGCTCAACATCTTTGCGCACACTTTCTTGCATCATGTTGAAATGCTACAAAAGAATAAATGACTATTATACAGAGCTGCTCGAGCGACCAAATTTTTCCTTGCATAGACCAAATTTCTACATATAGGAGTTTAAACATCCGTTACACATGTCCCTCTACTATCTCGCTTTCATAGGAGCTGCTGAAAATTCGCAATAAGGAATTTTATATAAATATTTTACCCGACTGAAAACGTGAACACCCATTATCAAACCGGGATAAATATTCAACCGGATACATCCACCTATGTATACCTACAAACATCACTTTTTTCATACTATTATATGGTCATATAGGAATAAAAATTTAGCTGACAAAAAGTATGAGATAACATTAAGATAATGTGTACAGTAAAAGAAAAGTAGTTGCTCTAGAACCATCATTAGATGGTTAACAAACGCGAAAGAGTGTATGGAGTCTGAATTTTTTTGACCCTGGAAAGAAGGGGCTTAGGTGTTTTCTTCCTCTTCCCTGCTCTTTCTACAACTCTTTTTTTTTTATAAATTGCAGAATGAACTCTGAACATCGTAACCAACCGAACTCTACTTTACCAACTGTTACTGAAGCACTTAGTGCTGGTAATTCTGACTACAACAACAACTATCTTTGCAAGAGATGCCGCAGTGAGAAGCCTGGAATGGATTTCAGCGGTAATACTAGACCGTATAGAACCTGTGTGGCCTGCCGTACTAGAGACACTCCACCCGAGATTGTTCCGTTAGATGACATGGTGATGTTGGACTCTTTAAATGATCATTATCCTGCTGCAGATGATACGGTAAGTACATACATGTATTTTGAATTTTTTCCACTAAATTCTTGATCATTTACTACATAGTATGCAGAACGATCATTTCTATTGTTATGTAATGGTTGAACCGTACATGGAATCGATATCGAATGATCAATTGATCGAGCGAATTTTGGATGAGGTGACCAGTTGCGATGGGCATCGATATATGCTGAAGAACGAGGGGGCCCCTGAGCAAGCATTTAAGGTATCATTCACTGCCTACTGCTCGCGCTCCCAAGTCTATCAGAACACCGTTCTCGCCGCGCAACGCCAGAGGATCACTGTACGAATGCCAACGTTTGATTGCGGCGGACGCGTAAAAGGAACGATCGTTAGGCAGCAAGGCTATGTCGAACTTGCAATCCGGCATCAAGACCATGTGCCTGTTAATCACAATGATGGCAGTGTACGTCGACGAGAGCGCAATTTGGTTCCTGACGAAGTAAAGCAACACATCGCTCGGGAAGCTACAGAAACAGGTGCCAATGAATTGTACCGGCGCGTTATCCGACGTTTTCCTGAATCCAACGTTACGCCTATGCAGGTGTATTACTGGTGGGCAGAATCGTTCAAGAACCTGTATCGTCTGCATGATGATCAGTTACTGTCAGTGCGACTACTCCTACAATGGTATAATGTACAAGGCTTTTATGAGGTAGGTGATTATATCAATAGATACTGACCTTGACCTAGTCTTTTCTCTGGAAGCTAGCAGTAGGTAGTAATAGATCACAAATAGAAGTAGAATCTGAGTTAGTTGAAATAAACGCTAGGTGCTTTGGAGCAGAGATGCATCTGTATGTGCTGCCTTGGGATTTGTCACTCCGTTTTTTGGTTTGTTGGTCAGAAGTGAGCTGATCGAAGAGTACTGCATTGATTCGACCTGGAAGACAAATCGTGCTGGCTCAGAGTTGTACGGCATTATTGCCAATGTGAATGGCGTAGGATTCCCTATCGCCTATCTTCTTTATACGGCATTTGATGATGCCCCACCCAATATCAAAACCAACACTTTGATTTCCTTTTTCCGTGTATTGAGGGAGCGTGGGTTCAATCCGATGTTTATGTTTTCGGACAAGGATCAGGCCCAAATGAATGGCATAGAGACAGTGTTTGGTCTGTCGCAATTGCGTCTCTGTCTTTGGCATTTGAAAAGATCTGTTGATCGCAAATTAAGCGAGACAAAAAGCCGCCGCCCGCCACCATATAATAATGTACAAGCAAACACTGATTTTCCTTTCGTCGACATAACCTAGACGCCATCCATCGGTGGTCGCACAGGTGTAATCTGCCCGGCAGAACAACGGAAAGAAATAATTGACAA